CGAGCAAAAGGTCTTCCGCATCAGTATGGCAAACAGGGACGGACAAATCACATGTGCGCGGGAGGGGAAATGATCCGCGGGGATTACAACCCACGATGACAGAGAAGCCACGGTGCGCTGCAACGATGTCGATGACCAATGAGCACGATCTTGAAGGTTAGCTCGATGAGTGTCCATCAACTGAGTCAAAACCGGCTGCAGATCAACAAGAAGACTGGAACCATGCACATGCCAGCGACGAGCAAGTTTGCGAAGTTGCGTGGTGAAACGTTGATGTAACAAGTCGACATCACCGAAATACTGATCCTTCATTGATGCGGCCATGATTTCCATGTCAATGTCCGCATTGATGCGTGAGAACTCATCAACCATTACAGCATGTCCATGTGCTCGGTGTATATGGTGATCATCGATGTCCAAACAGCGACACGGAAAGGATGTTTCAGGAGTCCATCTGCGCTGCCATGTGCGGTAGTTGTAGATCTTGTCGCCCAACGTGGCACTGCGAGTTTCCACCACCCGGATCTTTGGAAGGAAAAGGGAGGGAAACAAATCACGATGAGAAGCAATCCAGCTTTGTAACCATGTGCCAAGTAGAGCTTTCCAATTCCGGACATGTAGAGGCGGTAGGAGTAGTTGTGTCAACGTGGTGGGTGATTGTAGCTGTCGCTTGCGTAACACCTGGGCGAGGAGTTTCTGCGCCTTGGAGCGGAAGGGCTCGTTGACAAAGACGGAGAGCCGCAGAAAGTAGTAAAGCTGAGTAGGAGGGAAAGCTGCCGACAGAAGGTCACGCATGGCTTGGAACGATGCACCTGTATTGGATCCCAGCTGATAGAGAATAGAGTAATGGGCCTGAATGTCATCCAGCATGTCGGGACGTAGTTGCCGTTGGAGATCCGGATGTAGTCGTCGTCGAAAGCGTTTGTGCAAGCCGAGGGAAGTGGGAGACGACAACGAGTGACGTCGAAAATCAACGAGGTGTTCCCGGAAGCCCACCTTTCGCAGAAGTCTGTGTACCCAGGGTGCATTCAAATGCGGGCGTAGCAGGTATTGCCATTTGCTTTCCTGGACCCAAACCGAGGAAACGGGAAGTTTGATCTCAACCGGAACAGCACAGAAGAGCCAGTAAGTATTGGATCGCTTCCAGTAGTGAAGCGCGGGTTCGAAAAGGCATGACGTCTTCGAAGTAGTTGTAGAAATTTGCGACTGCGTGAGTGTTCACGTCGTAGAACATCCTGATCAGTCGCACCAACGTAGTAAGGTGTGTGCCATGGGGAAAGTCGGATGTAGACGCACGGTTGTTGATGATGACCTGGATCGTGAATGAAGTCATAGAGGTCCGGAAATCGTGCCCGCAATGAGCGAAGATGTCGCGTGTCGGCAAAAGTGGAGTGCATGATTTCACACAAGAGAGAAGCCTTGTAGAAGTGAAGGACTTCAAAGAACGGCGGAAAGTAGCCATGATCTTGGGAAATGAGACGTTGTAAGAAACTGATCAATAAATAGGCAGTGCACCGACATCTATGAATCTCATACCTGTTGGCCACAGTGTGTTGAGAGTGTGACATAGCGTGATTCGGAATCTGAAGGGCAATCCGGACCACAACTAAGACTTCCAGAATGAGGCCCAACCACGGTAGTTGTGTGATTGATTCGTACTCATCAGCTGGTATCGACGGTGGTGGTAGTCCAGGGAAGCAGTATTGCCAGCACGTAGAGAACATGGTCAACGAGTGTAAAAAGTTGTCCAGAGACTGCCATTGTGCAACATCATCATAGATTCCACAGCGGCGAAGCTCATCCAACATGGTGAAAATGCAACCAATGAAATCTACCATAAGGCGGCGACATGGATACAAGCTGCACAGACAATCACGCACAAGGCAATGCAAGCACAACCAAGTACAAGATCAAACTGATGCAACGCAGAAAGATGACGGACGAGTTTTAACCTTGACTCATCCGTGACACGGTTGCCGCTCCGGGCTCATAAGAGAACGAAGGTCGTTGAGATGCTTGCTCATCCGCTGAGTAGGCGAGCAGTCACGATGAGGTGACTCAATGCCTTCTCAGTGAGCTTGGTGAGATAGCCGGGTTCCAGTCCCCACGAAGCCGCCATCGCCCCTAGAGTAGGTGCGTCGCCTTTCGGCATGCGTTGACGCGCTTGAAGGAGCTGCGTCGCCATGGAATCTAATGACTTGTTGCCGTTGAGCCGGGACGGGTGATTGGCCCACTTGACCAGTGACGTCAAAGTCGTGGTTGTGGGCGATTGCTTGAGATAAAGGCGTGGCTGGTCACTGGTCCATGTGTAGTACTTGACAACTTCTTCCGGCGTGCTGTGCATGGTGAGCAATTGTGACGCCGCCGGCTTGGACGGCGGTGAAGACACTCCGTGAAGAGACTGAATGATCCGGGGTTGCACCGCGCTATCAAACGACTTGCCATCAAGGGCCGCTGCGCTGGCTGTAGGAAGGGAGCTGGCAGGTGACGAGGATGGTGTGTGGTTGACCGGTGGCGGTGTAACCAACTCTGCATCATCTTTCTGGCTTGCCATCGTGGGAGAGGTCGAAGCGCGCAGCGATGCTGAATACTGAGCCTGGAGCAGCTCATGCGCACGATTTAGATCATTGTACTTCTTGACCATGTCATCTGTCTGGGTGGAAGGTGTGAGAGAGGCGTGGTGTTGCTGAAGAAATTGAAGTACCAAGCTGGCCAAATGGTCATGAGCCTTGATCCGCTGATTGAAGTCATCGATGTTGAGACCCAGCGAGTTGGCAAGGTCCTTTTCCAGGGTGAGCAGGTTGATCGACTGTGATCGTCGTAGCAGTTTGGAACAGGTACTCCAAAGTAAGGCCTCGGTGCGAGTGCGAAAGCCTTCCCACGTCACGAATCTGCCGTGAGCGAACGGTCGGAGCAGCCAGTTGGTGAGGCCCCCATGAATAACCTGAACCAGGCGAACGTCACGAATATCCATGCCTGACATGTCGCGCAGGTTGCCATGCGGAGTGTTGGCAACGGTCATGGGCAGGCTAAAGTTGTAGAGCTGATTGACATCAAACATGCCATCTCCAGGTGTCCAGTCAGGCGATGGTGTAAGCCAGGCTTTCTGAGGGCGAACCGGTAGAGCCGCAGGAGGTCCAGGTGGCGGTGTAGGTTGCGGAGTAGTGACCGGTGGTGGCATCACGGGTGGCATGAACTTCGTTGGCGTGGGGTCTGGAGGGATCGGCATCATGTAGTTGATCGCTGGGTGTTGGAATTGCTGTGTGGGACTGTGAGTCGATTGAAAATTGGTGGGCATCATCGGGAAATTGTTGGCAGAGTTGTAGCCGGAATTGTGTTGCCAAGATACCAGGTTGTTCCAATCCATGCCTTCCGAGACGTGGTGGTCATTGTGTTCACGTCGGTGTGCTTTACGAGCCTGAGGAGAAGTACTCCGATCACGTCTGCGCCGAGTCCTGGATCTATCACGATCATCACGTCGAGACATGGTTACACAATCGACTCTCAATCTTCACGCTTCCATCTTGAGAGACACGTATCAGACAACAAGCAAATCCATGCAACGGCAAGGTATCAACGAATCCAACAAATGGCAAGCAAACATCGATGGTGAGACGTCTCTATGATCTGACCGCTGTCTTCCCTTTAGTGAGACCTCGTTCCTGGTTAAATGTGAAATTCCGCTGTTCTATGATAAGCACGTTGAGGTCAAATTTTCCGACAGAGCCGGCCCGGGGTCACACAATGGGTACACCCGAGGATTCCCCACGAATGGGGTGTACACACTTAAACTCCAGATGGAGAGTGCTAATCTTTCGAGTACAACTGATGAGTCTCGAGTACAACTGATGAGTCTCGAGTGGGTGTGGGTTCGGCTCGCAGGGCACTCGGCTTCCCACTAGTGTCGAAAACGTTACAGGGTTCAACGTGAAGCACACACAGCGGCAAAGAAGCGGCCAACAGGACATTCACCAACATCACTTCACAAAAGCAGGTACACACGGGTGATCAATCCGTGCATCCACCATCAAGCATAGCTTCGTTGGCCAGCGTTTGCTTGATGGCCGCTGGCCCCCTGCTGAGAAACCGAAAGGGTGGTGACAGGGCATTCTGTCACTCCGCACACACACACACACGCGCACACACACACACACACACACACACACACACGCACACACACGCACACACACACGCACACACACGCAGACACACACGCACAGATATTTATCTACCTATGTAATACATCCTCGCTGGCGCCTGCCTCCCTTTCGGGCACCCATTTGAGAAGTCAGCGCTTCCCCAAGTTTGAGAGCTCCCAGCTATGTAAAAGGATGTCCGCAAGGGTGTCTCCAACTCCAGCCACTGAAACTCCAGATTCAGTACCGCTGACCCCTACACATACAATCCAGCTGTCCAGCTGTCCACCCACCCACCCATCCCACCTGACCTGACTAAACCCACACCCTCGCAAAATCACGCACTTACATGACTGTGACTGTGGGTCAAAAATATGTGCCCAAAATGGAGTCCTGGTAAGTGGCAACATGGACCAAAACCTGCGCTCCCTTGGTGGTTTTAATCTTGACCCATACCCACATAGCCAAGTTTTACAAAACATAATGACCTCTACAAGTCTAATTGGCCGTTCCGCGGGGCCCACCTTCTCACTCGTCAACGCGGGGGATGGGGACAGCGAATTCCTAAGGAGGAACGCATGTTTTGAGCGGCAAGCCTTGAAATGTGGCCCCCTAAAGGGATCGCCTGCTTACTCCGTGGATGGCTGATCCCTTGCCAAACGTTCAACTTTCAGTGGGAGGAGGGGTCATATATACACCTCTAAATTCTAAATCTGAAAGTCTGAGCGCATGGCTGGGAACCTTCAAGTTCATGTTGCCGTGAATTTCAATGGAAAAGATGTCCTCCCAAATGTTTGACATTTAAAACCCCTCCTGCATAATATGCCCACCAAAGAGTCCATGCCCAAAAACGTTCCCACTCGCCTCCCCCAGGATGGCGCCGTAGCAGCTGAGCATCAGCGTGACCACCAGGTACTCGGTCACGCCTCCGCCCTTATCCTACCCGCGCTTTCGTTGCAGGAAGGTCTCATTTTTGGGGGAGCCCCTGGCTTGTGTCAAAAGGAATGCCAAAGGGACAGCCGCAAAGGGTCCTAAAAACGGGTGGATGACAGCTGGTGGCCCGGGGAAAAAGATGGGCTTGCTTAATCGGCTGCTCCACTCAGAACAATGACACAACTCGACAAGCGCTCAGTGCCTTGGCCGTTTTCCGAACTTGAGGCTCGAAGAGGTTGTTGATTTGTCCATGGAACGATAAGGTTGCCCGTCCGGGGGTAGGGAAAGGCATGACCCCCAGCCCTGGAAATACTAGAGCAACATATGCTAATCCAATAACACATCAATATCAAACCAAACTAAAAGCGGACCAATACTAGGCCCATGCTGCCGGCAAAACCGACCGAGGCTTCCAGCCGAAATCTGTGTGTCAATTGTCTTGCCCCTTTAAAGGAGTGAAAAAGCGATAGAAACTCAAGGGAACACGCATGCCGACTGGCGCGCAAGCTTTAAATTGCAAGGCTTCAAGTTTGAATAGGATGTTATTGGAATTCAATTAGACTTCTTAGTTTGATTTGGATGATAAATTTGATATGTTTTCAGATAATAGTTTGAATAGAATTGAACTAGAATAAGTCCATTGTATTGACTTTTAGATAAGAGCTCTTCTCCCGAGTAGGATTCGAATTAGAACTTTGCTGGAATCATCACGTTCAATTTAGATTGAACAGAACTTCCTTTCCGAGTGATTCTAAGTAACCTTCAAATAGAACCTAGTAAGGAGAGACAAGCTGGTTGTTTCTCCAACCAGTAGAACTAGAAATGGTTGTTAAATCATGTATTAACCGGGAATTCCTTTCAGGCCTTTCTTAGGAAATACTTGACCATCATGTCAGAAACCCTTTACTCTGCATCTTCAAGCACAACTTCTTTTTCTTCCCGGGAAAAAGGGGGGGGGGGGGTTGGGTTGGGTGCTTGTGGATTAGAGTTGTTTTAGCCCCCCCGTCCTTGTCCCAGTCTCCATCGCCCCATTTTTCCTGAGCCTGGCGGAGGCTGGCAAAGTCCCTTCGCCAACGACATGTTCGTTGGACTACCGTTTGGGCGGCGCTTTTTTTTGCGAACAAGTCCCCTGGGGAAAAAATAGAACCATATGTTCAGTGAGAGAGTCCCTTTAAAACCATGAGAAAATAAGCGCTATTCTTAAGCGAATGGAAGGTGAAAGTGGATGGCGCAATTCCGGCTCACACTGGTTTGGTCGTCCCTTTACTCACCCACATGCAAGGGAATAAGGGAATCGCGCCATCTACGTTCATCCTGGAGTACAGTGCCACTGAGAAAGCACGGCATCTTGACCCTCTAAACCAGCAAGCCCAAACAAACAGGCACATTGAAACCTCTCCAAGCTCGTCGGTAGGGCTCCCTTTCCTTTGCTGAGGCTGATCCTTTTCAAGGAGATGTCTCTGTTTAGTACAGTCATCTGAGTCAGCTGAAATGAACATCCCTCAAACATCTCATTGCAGCTCCCTTCAACTCACCTGTGGCTTTTGCAATTCACATCCTCTACCTCATCCGGTCATACATGTTTGTCACGACCAGCACTTCACACCTCAACATTTATTTCTTGGAGCTGGCAGTTGTCGGACCCTGCCCCGCTGGAACGTCTTGACCAATCGCTCCGTGGCAATTGCGGCAAGCCTCTGGGGACCCCCAACTTCAGCCTTTCCATCTTGGCCCTAGGGTTCAACCCTCCGTTAAAAGAAAGGCAACCTCGATTTGGATGACCATCCTTAGAAAACAATGGTGGGTATATGAGCCCAACCATTGATTTAATGGTGGTTTCAATCCCAGGGTTGGCCCCGAACCAAAAAGCAACTGCTTTCTTGCCCCAAACCTCAGATGTACGTGGCTCTAGGCTGGTGGAAAAACTTCCATAGGCCAATTCCAGGTGTGTCTTTGAACTTGGAACCCTTTTCTTTTGGGGTGGGGGCTTGGTTGACGTTGGAAGGGGAGCAACAATGAGTAAATTTTAGTTGTTAAGTGGTTGGATTCCAACCACTAAACCACAGTCAGCAAAAATGGGAAAATGTTTCCCAACAACAACCATGAATTGGCAGTTCCGCAAAACCCACTTCAGATAGTCCCAAACCAGCATTCCGAAAACGTGGGTTCCAAAGCTGAGGGGGGGTGATTTTTTTCTTCAGGCCCACCCAACCAAAACCATCCCCACCAAACCCCAGGGCCATGGATTCCCGCCATCCCGCCTCCAGCCCCCAGCGCTGCAGCTTGGCCCCTGCGGCGCGGCCCTCGTCCTCCGCGTCAAACAGCAAGAAGTCGCCTGACAAACAAATCCACGGCCAGTTGCACTAAGATCCTTCCAAATTTGTCGCTAAAATAGACGAAAGTGGGTGGTGCACCTTCCATTGGTCTAGGGGTTGATTCCCATCGTTCTTGCCAAAAACTTGGGTTTCCGGAGGTGTTCTAGAAAGAAGGAACCCTGGAAAGAATGGGGAAGGTACCACTCGAATTTGCCTAAGCCCCTCTGGAAAAATGCAAAATGTGTCCAGTGATCGACTCCCTTTTCAATTTCTCACTTGCCCAAAGGACTCCAGCAGTGAACATTAAAAAAAATGATCGCCTTTTGGGGGCCTTGACTAAGCATGGACCAAAACGGGAAAAACCAAAAGGTCAAGGTCGGCTTTGGACAACTGAGATTTGCCTCCGCCCCCTGGGGAAGGACAAAAAACATGTCCAGTAGTGATAGTATTTCCCTTAAAACCAACAGGGGAACATAACATGAATTCTTAAGCAAATGGAAGAATTGTCCATTCTACAGGAAATATCCGTAGGTTTTTGGTGGGTTGGCCAATTTTCTGCGGACTGGTTTCATACAAACCAGCTAGCCACAGGAATTTCTACAGGAAAGCATATTTCCTGTAGAATTCCTGCTCGTGTGACAGAAAAGCAGCACACACACACCAGTGTCAAGACACTCCTTTTGCTTGTTGCGTCGGTGTTGGCCAACCCTTTGTTGAAACTGGACGTTCTGCCAAGCTGTAGTTGTGGTCCAACGCCGTCATCTCTGCCTTTAAATTGGCTTTTGGCCGAGTCGACCAACGGGATTCCCCCAAGCGAAACAAATTATATGTCAGATTCTGGTCCCGAAATCTGTAATTTAGTGAACCATCGAATTTGATTTCAAAACAGAGCCAAGTTTACTAAGTATAGCGAGCATCCGGCCACTTGTTGTAGCCAAATCGAACAGTGTCAAGATAGGGGGACCAGCAAAATGGCTGGTTTTCCTTTCGGTTTCCATTCAAAACAACCCAAACAAATTACGCATACAAAACACACCTAAATGCACAGGGGGGGGCAACAACTATCCAGCCCCGGGGGGGGGGGGGGAACAACTATCCAGCACCTGTTGGTCTCCTTTTCGGAAAATTGAAATGTATGGCCACTTTAGCACCCGATTACGAAGAAGCCCAAGAAAAAAACTTTGCCAATGCACCAGGGTAAAGCCTTGACATGTCCCAGTTCCTGCCATTTGCATGTACGTCACCTGGAAAAAAGTCCGGCAGTCATAGATTCCCTCTAAAACCAACAGGGGAAATTACAATCTTCTGGAGCAAATGGAAGAATTCTACAGGACATATCCATTGGTTTTTAGTGGGTTGGCCAATTGTCTGTGGACTGGGGACATCAAAACTATTCTCAAGCAACTGGAAGATTGATCCCAGCGCTGTTTGATCATCCGCTTTTGACAGGTCTTTGGTCAACACAAGCTACAAGTCATGGCAGCAGGGGAGAAGCACAGGTGTCCTTTGAGGGCAAATAGATGGGTTTCCCTGGTCGATGATTCACCAGGTAAACCAGGAATCGAAACCCATCTACTTTTTCTGCCAAAACAAAAAGGACAAAAGGACACCTATGGCTGGTGTCCTTCGGTTCATTCCCAAAGCCCCGCGGAAAAATTCCCTGAGAACTTTCACACCGCGGTTCCCAAAGAGCGTCTCAAACTGGAGGGTTCAGATCCGCTCGACTTTCTCCGCGCGGCAGCTGGCGTAGCGCCAGGAGGTCTCCGCCCGCTTGATGGCCAGCACCACGTCCAGCATCAGCTGATGCAGCCCTGCATCCTGGATCCGATTCTCTAGGGGCTGATTCCAACCATTCTTTTCAAAAACCGGATCCGTGTTCCCTCGGTTTCTGAAGGTTCTCTAGAAAGAAGGATGCCTGGAAAGAATGGGGAAGGTAGCCCTAGAGATTGGCTAACCAGGGCTCCCTACACTAGGTGTTCTCCAGTAGAGAGGTTAGAATAAGGGTGCCCCTTTTTTTGTGGTAGCCTACTAAAAAGTAGGGGAACCCTCCAAAAATAAAAAACCTCAGCAAGGGATACCCACCTTTCCTGGGCGAAAAAAGCGATGTTTAAAACCACCACAAAGAGAATTATAGGGAGCCATGAATAAAGGACTCCCTGTTTCCAATGGAAGCGGAAGGGCTTTCTTTTGGAAGCCAGTCTTCTAAAACCCTGGCTTCCATTGCTGGAAAACGGAATCACATAAAACCAAACATCAGGGTTGACACTTCCCGCCAGAAACTGACGAACCTCGGGGGGTCAAAACATGCGGAAGCACGTGTCATTTGTGCATCTGCCAACCGCTAAGTGCCATGTCCCCTGTGCCCACGCCGGGCCCCAGTCATTTCCCAAAGCACCTTAATTAGGTCATTTCTCTGGCTCTTGCTTTCCCAGTGAGGCTCCGAAGAGGTGTCTGCGGTATCTGCCAGCTTGTTCAGGGTAGTGAGCATGTTCTTGGAGAACTGCATGCCGATCTGCAGCTTCAAGGCGGTGCACTTTGCATACCTCGGAAGGCGAGCGCTTCGCAAGAACCACAGACATTCAGCGCCCAACAAGGACGCCCAGCTGCGTAAATTGAGATATCTGCTGTAGGCTCCCTTGGAACGGACACAGGCCCATTGCACAACGCAGTCAGCAATGCGCAAATTCCAAGCAGCCTGCAGGCAATGCACCAAGCTGCTATTGCTGCACGACACGTGTGCTTCAGATTTGGACTATGGCAACAAATTCGCCCCCTACACTTCAACTTGCCTTCCCTATATAACTTCGCGCCAGAAAGCATGAGCCAATGCGCGAGAAGGCCCCAAACTTAAGTGACAGGTGAAGGGTGCAGGGCACTCTGGGCGGGCCACGGGTCCTCCTCCTCCCAGGGCCAGGCCCGGCGCACCGTCCGCGCCCCCGTCCGCGCCGTCCGCGCCGTGCGCGCGCGACGGATGGCGGGCAGCACAAGGGCGAGGGCGCATAGCAGCGGCTGACTGCGTGGGGATTGGCTCCATGACACGCAAGAACCACCGAGTTTGACGCCCTGCCGAGAGAGGGTTTGCCTGCCTGGCTGGTAGGGACCCAACCGGCTTCAACCCCTCGCCCTTCAACTGCAGGCCGCTCGCACTGGGAAAGGGCGGCATTCAAGATTGAAACCGGCCTCTTGTAGTGGGACAGCGTTTTGCGCAGAAGGCATGAACCCAGCCCAAGTTCAGAGCTTCCACCAACAAGTTAGGACAGGGCATTGGGAAATGACCACTTCTGTGATACAAAAGAAAGGGCTTCCCAAAGACCAACCCCCATACAAAAGGGGAGATCCCCTTTTGTCACAGAAGTGAGGATAAATTCCTTGATTTCATAGCCCTGAGTTTGGACATCTCTTCCTTCCTCTTTCCCTGTTTCCCCGAACCTCGCTTGCGCCGCGCCATAAGCGTTGCTCCCTTCGGCCCTCGGCGGCGCCCCGCTCGGCGCCCCGCGCGCGCCGAGCGCAGCTCCGGCGCGGATGGCGCGCGCTGGCCTGGGGCGGCCGGGGGGACGCTCATGGAAATGGCTCCGTTCTGAAGGCTCTTTGCCCTTCATGATTGCTGCAACGGGCCTTCTGGGCACCTTTTGGGGATCTCTTCAACGTCTTCAAGAGGTGTGGCTTTTTGATAATTGTTGCACAGATTCCAAAACCTCCCCAAGTAAAGGACCCATGTCCAACAGTAGTCGTGAACGTTGAGGCCGGTAGAAAAGGGGATTGGCCACTATTTGCAGAGGATCCAGGAAATAGGAAGAAACGTATAGAGGAACTAGGAGAAGCCAGTTGTTGGTACGAGATGACCTCCAAAGCTCGAAAGCACGAAACGGGAAAAGGCGCCGATTCTGATGGATGGCTCAGATAAGGGGAAACTGGGAAAAAGGTTCGCAGTAGGAAGCGTGAGTCTGTTCCCCACACGCGCAGTACCTTTCGCTCAAGTTACCCAAAATGTGGGTCATGCTGAAGGCCATGTCGGTGACGGCCCCCTTTTAAACCACACGTGCACAGACACAAACAAAAATGACACACACACACACGCACAAAACACGCACACACACACAACACCAAAGAACAAACGCACAAACAAAAAAAACACTTGCGCACACCCACACAACCAACACAACCAACAACCAAACAAACAACCAAAAAAAAAACACAAGCAAGCAAGCAAGCAAGCAAGCAAGAAAGCAAGAAAGCAAACAAACAAACAAACTAACTAAAAAAGAAGCAAACAAACAAAGCAAAACGAAACACAACAAAATAAAACCAAACACACAAACCAACAAAACAAGACACGATGAAACAAACAAACAAACAAACAAACAAGCAAACAAGCAAACAACCAACCAACCAACCAACCAAACAAACACCCAACCAACCAACCAAACAAACACCCAACCAACCAACCAAACAAACAAAAGACACCTAAGCACACAAACCAGCCAACAACAAAAGACAAACAAACAAACAAACAAACAAACAAGCAAACAAGCAAACAAGCAAACAAGCAAACAAACAAGCAAACCAGCAAACCAGCAAACCAAGACTAATTCACAATTGAACAACCCAACACACAAACAACAAAACACCTAACCAACCAACCAAACAAGAAACAAACCAGCAAACCCAAACCAACCAACCAACCAACCAGCCAGCAAGCAAGCAAGCAAGCAAGCAAGCAAGCAAGCAAACAGACAACATACAACAACTCAACGTAAGACAATACAACACAACACAACCAAAAAAGAAAACAGCATGGCATGGCACGGCACGGCATGGCACAGAGACACACACACACATCGCTTACAGGCACATAAACACTCACATGCACATACGCGAACACACGCACAGACACACAGCGAGACAGGGAGGGAGAGAGAGAGAGAGAGAGAGAGAGAGAGAGAGAGAGAGAGAGAGAGAGAGAGAGAGAGAGAGAGAGAGAGAGAGACAGAGACAGAGAGAGAGGAGAGCGAGCGAGCGAGAGAGAGAGAGAGAGACAGCCAGACACAAACACAAAACACAAGCAGTGCAAACATACAAGCAAGCAGCAAGGGAGCGAGCAAGCAAACAAGCAAGCAAACATAAGCAAACAATCAAACACACAAACCAAGAACGAGGCACTACGAAACTGGCAAACGCAAACAAACACAGATGCATCGACAAACACAAAGACCTGGACAGACAGACACACGAAGACACAGACGCACAAAGAAACAAAGGAGAACAAAGGCGCAGGCACACAGAAGACAAACCGACACACCAAACACACACACACACACTGCACACACACACACACACCCATGCTAGCCCGCAGGCCCGCAGGCCCGCTTGAAAACTCACACCAACAGACAGGCAGGTAGCAAGGCAAAGCAAGATTTGGACCCCCTGCTCCCATCTGGTGCGCCCCTTGACTCGCCTCAACGTCGGCACAAAGAGTAGGGACGTATGCACCAGCGCCAGCACCGCAGCAGCCGTCAGAAGCCGCGCCATAAGACGGTCGATCCGCGGATCGGATCCCGATCTGTCAACAGGCGGTTTGCTCGTGCTGAATGCGCTCGCGCCCGCGTTTTCTTGCAGGAGTTCCGTGAAACCTGGCTGTCAGTTAAAGGCCGTCGCGTGGCATCGTGGCTTGCCACTTGGTTGAGCTCATTGTTGCCGGACTGACCCGCGGCGCGCACAGATCCGCGGCGGCCGCATGTTCGTGTCAAGTGAATGCTCTGCTGAAGCTGGCAAGCTGGCGAGCCGAAAATCCGAAATCAGCGGGTCACACGACGTCGGGTGGCCAGTGCTATGTTACAATGCTCCAGGCAAACCTCCCTAACTCGTGTTTGCATTTGTTTTGTTTTTGGCTTTTTGTCTTTGGGGGGGGCGGAGGGAAAATGCCTTCACGCAATGCCTCCGCACCTGTCCGTGCTTCAAGGTCTATGACGATGGGAAACGGCCCGCGCCACTGCAATGAAGCATCCCATACCGGCCTAGTTTTTACCGGTTGCAGCCAACTTGTCTAGGACAAATGTGTGCTTTGCCTTTTTTTCAGCCGTGTGACATCCATGTACTGCAAAACCGTCATGGGACCTAAACCGCCTTCCCCGCTTGGAGCTCTCCGCAGGCCGCAAGATGCTGCCATTGCCAGCACCCAAGCTCGCCAGACTAGCGCGCCTCTAAGCAAGCAAGGCCCCAGCTCGAGATCACCCCGCCCGCGCCAAGTTGCTCGAGCCTTTTTACTTCGGACTTTGCATCGGGCGTCGCTAGCTAAGACCGGGGATGTCTTGGCCCAAGCCCCGGGGTACACCAAAACATGTCCCACTCTTCATACTTTTTATTTCAGTCTACCTTACAAATTGCTCTTGGTAGAAATCATTGTAGTAGTTATGAAGCATCCGTGGCTCGACTGGAAAACGGAAATAAGACGACAGCTAACCTGGGAATGAATTATTCTTGGATGAGGACCCCAGGAATGCCAACTCGCCTTCGCCCACTTGCCTCCGGCTCTTCTTGGCTCGGCGGAGTTTCCGGGCGGAAGACAGCGAAGGGGAAAGCGCCAGCATCAGCCAACAGTACGGGTTCGGGCTTCGGCTTTCCATGGGCACCTCCGAGCTTGCGCTCGCTCTCATCGGATAGGAACTTGCATCAGGGGCCCTGAAATATGTGGGGTGGGGAGGGGAGGGGTGGGGTGGGGTGGGGTGGGGTGGGGTGGGGTGCCCTTAAAGTTGTGAGAGAGCAACGCTGCGGGCACCAGCGTTGCTAATCATTTCCGGCGCAAAGAGGTCTGACTCCAGACATGCCCAGCCTGCACTTCTCCCCTTCGCTGGATTTTCCTGCGCATCGGGGTCCAGAGCGATGCCGTCACGCTTGCAGCTGAACCGCCTGGCGAAGCAAGGGCGCGACCCCATGGGCGGGGTCTCTGGTTTAGACAGGAAGCCACAAGGACACCAGGTGCCGAATCTGCAACTTAGACACCTGCCCACATGTGACTTCATTTTTGTTTGATTTTTTACCAAAAAAAACAAGAAAGAAAACACAAACGCAAGCTGGCGTTGCGACCAGCCAGCTTACACTTGAGTCGCTGCACTTCAGTCAGGCCGCCATCCGTTCAATTCCGAATCCAACTGCGGACTAACCATGCCAGCCATTCGATGTCATGACTCCTTGCAATGACTCCTTGCAATGACTCCTTGCAATGACTCCTTGCAATGACTCCTTGCAATGACTCCTTGCCATGACTCCTTGCAATGACTCCTTGCAATGACTCCTTGCAATGACTGCTTGCAATGACTCCTTGAAACAAGCAAGGAGTCAAGTGCAAGTTGCAAGTGCAAGGAGTCAAGTGCAATTGACTTGCGAGGAGTTAAAATCTCTTCTTAGGGCGGCGGGGTAGTGCCGACGACACTACACGAAAATCGACCCTCTGCGGGGATCGGCGTGGTCGAGGTGCAAAAACCCATGGTTTTTTGCGATTTCTAACCTGCTCGCGCGACCCTCTGCGGGGATCGGCGTGGTCGAGGTGCAAAAACCCATGGTTTTTTGCGATTTCTAACCTGCTCGCGCGACCCTCTGCGGGGATCGGCGTGGTCGAGGTGCAAAAACCCATGGTTTTTTGCGATTTCTGCGGTGCTCGCGCAACCCTCTGCGGGATCGGCGTGGTCGAGGTGCAAAAACCCATGGTTTTTTGCGATTTCTAACCTGCTCGCGCGACCCTCTGCGGGGATCGGCGTGGTCGAGGTGCAAAAACCCATGGTTTTTTGCGATTTCTGCGGTGCTCGCGCAACCCTCTGCGGGAATCGGCGTGGTCGAGGTGCAAAAACTCGAGGTTTTTTGCGACTTTTGTTGTTCGAACTGGTCCTCGGGAGTTGTCTCGTGGTTCGCGCGCCTGCTCCCGGAACCGGCGGGTCGCGGGTTCGATTCCTCCCTGGTCCGCGGGCGGGCGTCGCAAGATGCAACTTGCATTTTAAAGCAACTTGCGCAGAGCAACTTGCGCAGAGCAAGTTGCACAGAGCAACTTGCGCAGACCAACTTGCACCGACCAGTTTGCGCAGAGCGCCTTGCCTAGAGCAACTTGCGCAGAGCAACTTACGCAGAGCAACTTGCACAGAGCAACTTGCACAGAGCAGCTTGCACAGAGCAACTTGCAGGGAGCGCAATTTGCACAGAGCAACTTGCAGGGAGCCACTTGCAGGGACCAACTTGCCGGAGCAACTTGCGCGGAGCAACTTGCGCAGAGCAACTTGCACAGTGCAACTTGCGTAGAGCAACTTGCGCAGACCAACTTGCACCGACCAGTTTGCGCAGAGCACCTTGCCTGGTGCTGTCTCGCGCTTGCTTCACGAAGTGTAGGGAAAAAGAACGCATCCTGCAGCGTTGGGCCGACCTCGTTTGCGATGTTCTGCTTTCGGGCCAACCGTGGTCTAGTTTGTTGTTGTGCGGGTCACTTACATCCAAGCTTTAAGAATCCCGTGACCAGCCCTCGTTCCAAATGGTGACTGTGGGTCAAACATCAGGCTTGCTTTTCCGGATGGGGCCTTTTAACACTTACCTGTACACGTCTCCCCCCCCATCGGCGCGCAGCTAGTTTTTCCGCGAAAGCGCGATTAAGCTATGACTCCTGCATCCGCAAAAATACATTTCACGGATCAAACTCTCCTAAGGAAAAGCGATTGCCGCCACAGCCTCCCACGAGTGCTGGCATGTTGACGCTGCCACCAATCTGGGGTGTCTTTTGTGAGGGTAGCCATTGTTGGTTGGTTTGAAACGGATCCAAGAAACAAAAGAAGACACAGAATGGGGGGGGGCCTATTATTTGGGCGCATCCCCATCTGCAAAAAAGGTGTCGGTAGCTCAATGCTGATTTGTTGACCGCTGGCCACGACACCTTCAAAAACAGGGCTTGATCAAGTCGAGCCAATTTCAGCGGGCCCAACATGGACCCAAACCCGGACTGCAAGGGTCCTTCGCGATGTCTGCAAGCGGGCACCCTGGTGCAGCACTTCTCACAATAGACTGCTTTGGCCGTGGTGGATGATTCAATTGTCCTTTTCCACCAGCTCGCCTTTGCCAAGAACAGGAATCCACTTGTCGTGGCACGAGGTTCAATTGTGACGCCACTTAGTCACTTGCTCAGATGGCCAGTGGCCATGGGGAAAAAAGGGGCCTTCTTTTTGGTTTGGTGGAGTTTACACAGGGACCCTTCCCAAGAAAAGGGAAAAAGGGCTCCACTGGGCAAGTGGGCTTGGGTTTGCATCGCCTTGGTTCCCAACCTACCCCTTCCAATCAGCAGCCAAGGTACGTGAATGGTGCGGTCATGGCCCAAGCTCCGGCCCCTCATGGCCATGATGCAGGCTAAGCGTCAGCATAGGAACTTGGTAAGCAGAAGTAAAAGACACACGCACAAGCAACAGTAGCCGTTGCAGATGCACAAATATGCCTATGACACACACACACACCTGTGCATAAATAAATAAATTAATAAATAAACAGATAAAATAAATAAGCAAACAAATAAATATACGTACATACATGTATATGAATATATATATATACACATATGTATACCTATTCAAATGGGTCTAGATTTACAAATATATGTATGATTCTTCATTCTGCATCGGTTGTATACTATTAGACTATTACACTCACGATTTCCAGATGTTTGGCTAAACATCACCATCAGCTTCCATAGCTCAAGTCTCCAGGGGCTTTGGCGGCGAGCTGTGCCGAGGTCCTTCCTTTCTTTCGGACGGAAGAACCCGGAGGCGAGGTCGCGGTACCGATCTAAGCTGTCCATTCCGGTCACCAAAAATCGAGAGGCTTCTCATAGGGGCGTGGGGGCTTCCCTTCAGTGCTTCCTTTGCTTTCCTGTAACCACGAACCACCATCCAAAAACAGGCCCGGCCATGTTGAGAAACCTCCATGCAACAAAAAGACATCAGACACCACAGGGGCCAGTTTGGTCGGAGCCAAGGCTTTCCGCCGGCTCAAGGCGCTCAAGGCGCCCGCTGGCTGCGGTCCTTCCAAAGGGGTGAGGTTAGAGTCGAGTCCCCTCCCACATGGGAACTCTACCTGGGAAGTTGGGCCAACCACTTTATAACATGCTTCAACCCCGCCCGCAAACATGGAAGTGCACAGGCCCCTTTGCAGCATGAAGGCGATCTCCCAAAGGCTTTGTGCACTTCCATCTTTGGCGGGAAGTACAGCATGACTACATCCCCATGGTTCTCCCTGAAGGAGCCATCGCCTGATTGCTACAATTCTTGCCCTCTGCCGACCACTACGCGTAGGAAATCTGATTCAGAAGCGGGTGCCTTCCCAGCAAAGGACGCCAGCCATTTATGGTGTTCGATTTCAAGACCCGACGCAAGCAATCCCAGTCACCATTGCTATTATTATGGTGAGTGCCGTATTTTTCTTTTATCCGTCTACCCCTCCCCCCAACCCCCCTTGGAACCTGAAACACGCGCCAGTTTTCAAGGAGTCACTTGAAAAAGCCCAGGAAAAATCGGGCTGCAACGGAACTACTTGAGCCAAGGTCATTAGGCCTTGCCGCGGAAAACAAGGTCAAAACCTGCCAGTAACCCCAAGTCAAACCAACAAACGTAGTACAGCTCAATGGGATTGGCGGCTTTTTGGGCGGAATCGGCGGCATCTGGTGCGACATCTTCTTGACATTGGGGATTTGCGATGTAAACCAAAGGCCGGGCCTCGTCTTTTCCCGTTTTCTGCCGGTCCTGTGTCGCCGAGCCGCGATCCCCGGCTAGTTCTTGGAAGTGAAGGCGCCAAGCTGCTGCAAGCAGGCAGGCCTGGCTGGTGACCCTATACATCCCCACGACCCAAAAAAGGTGCTGGGGGCCGGGGTTCCCCAATTCCTATTATCACAGTAGTTCCACCACAAAAGGGAACATGGACACCAAAAGTAGAGATGTAGAGATCTCCAAGGGGTCGCAATCCCTCCTCCAATTCCAGAGGCCCCGCTAGACTTGCTTCATTTTCGGGGCAAAACCGCTTCCCGAGCCTGACGAAGTTATCCGAAAGCCGGAGCAGCGTGAGGCCGTGCATCATGTCGAGGCCTAACGGGCGCAAGGTGCAGGGCACAAAGAGGCAAGCTGTACAACTCGGCCAGAAAAGCACTCCACCAACCACAAACACACACACACACACCAAAGCCCACGAAACCTTGGCCGCAGACTCCGTTGCTACAGCTGCACAGTAAGGGAAAATCGGGGCTGAAATGGCCAACCACTCCGAACCCTCAGAAGACTCCAAGCGTCCGAGCAAGCAGGTATTTCGGAAGCGCGTCCCAAGCGGGTGGGACAAGTCTGATAGCTTTGTGCCCTTGTGCTTTTGGGTATGTGTCAAAATCATGGGACCCTCAAATGGTGGATGTCCTTGTGGTTGCGCTCTAAATGTGAAAAAGGGTATCCCAAAAGGAACACACACACACACACACACACACAAGCACGCGCGCGCACGCACGCACGCACGCACGCGCGCGCGCACGCACGCACGCACGCACGCACGCACGCACGCACGCGCGTACGCATCAAACATTTGGGTTTTATCGGGCCAATTGCAGGACCTTCGGGCGGCCTTCGTTCGCGAGCCCGTTGGCTGGGATCAAGGGTGATGAAACATGGAGAAACCTGCATGCGCTGCCGATCAACGAGTTGGTCCAAACAAGGGAAGTCCTTGCTCACATTCAGACAGAACAAAGAGATTTCCCTTATCAACACACCAAAGTCTAAACTGCTGGCCTACCATGAAATGCTTGAACTACACTTGCTTCACTAGACACCTAGCACACTGTTTAGGGTGTGCCGACTCTAAGACCCGTCCCGTCTCTCACCTGGCGAAAAGCTCCGGATCTGCTTGGACATCTGCTCGAAGGCCCAATCACTGGTGGCCAAGTCAAACTCCAAGGCGTTCTCGCCTTGCAAGGAGCTCTATAGGAATGGATCTTTCTAGAGGTGCCTTCCCCGCGTCCAGAAATCCTTCTTTCCAGAAAACCTGCAGAAACCCAGAGATAACGGCTGGTCTTTGAAAAGAACGTTGGTTGAAAAGAATGGGGAGTCAACCCCTGGACCATTCTTTCCAGGAATCCTTCTTTCCAGAAAACCTGCAGAAACCCAGAGATAACGGCCGGTGATTGAAAAGAACGTTGGTTGAAAAGAATGGGGAAGAATTCTTTCCAGGGGCAGGCAACCCCTGGACCATTCTTTCCAGGAATCCTTCTTTCCAGAAAACCTGCAGAAACCCAGAGATAACGGCCGGTCTTTGAAAAGAACGTTGGTTGAAAAGAATGGGGAGTCAACCCCTGGACCATTCTTTCCAGGAATCCTTTTTTCCAGAAAACCTGCAGAAACCCAGAGATTACGGCCGGTAATTGAAAAGAACCTTGGTTGAAAAGAATGGGGAGTCAACCCCTGGACCATTCTTTCCAGGAATCCTTCTTTCCAGATAACCTGCAGAAACCCAGAGATAACGGCCGGTCTTTGAAAAGAACGTTGGTTGAAAAGAATGGGGAGTCAACCCCTGGACCATTCTTTCCAGGAATCCTTCTTTCCAGAAAACCTGCAGAAACCCAGAGATAACGGCCGGTGATTGAAAAGAACGTTGGTTGAAAAGAATGGGGAGTCAACCCCTGGACCATTCTTTCCAGGAATCCTTCTTTCCAGAAAACCTGCAGAAACCCAGAGATAACGGCCGGTCTTTGAAAAGAACGTTGGTTGAAAAGAATGGGGAGTCAACCCTGGACCATTCTTTCCAGGAATCCTTCTTTCCAGAAAACCTGCAGAAACCCAGAGATAACGGCCGGTGATTGAAAAGAACGTTGGTTGAAAAGAATGGGGAGGCAACCCCTGGACCATTCTTTCCAGGAATCCTTCTTTCCAGAAAACCTGCAGAAACCCAGAGATAACGGCCGGTCTTTGAAAAGAACGTTGGTTGAAAAGAATGGGGAGTCAACCCTGGACCATTCTTTCCAGGAATCCTTCTTTCCAGATAACCTGCAGAAACCCAGAGATAACGGCCGGTCTTTGAAAAGAACGTTGGTTGAAAAGAATGGGGAGTCAACCCCTGGACCATTCTTTCCAGGAATCCTTCTTTCCAGAAAACCTGCAGAAACCCAGAGATAACGGCCGGTGATTGAAAAGAACGTTGGTTGAAAAGAATGGGGAGTCAACCCCTGGACCATTCTTTCCAGGAATCCTTCTTTCCAGAAAACCTGCAGAAACCCAGAGATAACGGCCGGTGATTGAAAAGAACGTTGGTTGAAAAGAATGGGGAGTCAACCCTGGACCATTCTTTCCAGGAATCCTTCTTTCCAGATAACCTGCAGAAACCCAGAGATAACGGCCGGTCTTTGAAAAGAACGTTGGTTGCAAAGAATGGGGAGTCAACCCCTGGACCATTCTTTCCAGGAATCCTTCTTTCCAGAAAACCTGCAGAAACCCAGAGATAACGGCCGGTCTTTGAAAAGAACGTTGGTTGAAAAGAATGGGGAGGCAACCCCTGGAATCTTTGAGGCCCTCAACTAAGGACTCATTGTGTACATGGGGTGTCCACCTACAATCTTGCGGATGTTGCCCGCGCATAAATGGCCATATAGCAGCAATCCCAAGGCATCTATTTCTCCCTTTCTGCCCTTCAGATATGGCATCACTCGTCGAATGCCTGAAGGCTGGGCACACATGATAAGATGGACCCTCAGGCAACCCAGTGCACACACGTGCACACGTCGCTTTGAATCATGTACAACACCCTCCCGCAAGCATGTCACCTTCAGAGGGCTCCTTGCAAGACACTGTTACATTTGTGGAAGTGTACCGAGGGGGTGTGCCTCCCACCCATTTTCCATCAGGGTCTGGAATCTGAAAAGGGGCAACTATTTCGGGGCTGTCAGTGTTCCTACCTTAGCGATCTTCTTCGTTGGTCCCTGATCCTCTGTTTCAGGTTGCATTTCGTCGCTCTAGCGCTCCGTCCTCCTTTTTCGCCTGCTATATGATCCCGCCTGCCAGCGGCACACAGTGGAAAATGCACGCCTTCCGCACTTGGGCAATGAGGTCCTGCCACAAAGAGATGGAAATTGTTTTGGTCCTAACGGGTTCAAATCCAAAGCTGTTGACTGTGTATATGATATACATATTATATGTATAGAAATAATATATATGTATACATACATGTATATGTACAAATGATTTATATAATATATCCACAGGTTCCTTGTTTCATTGACACATTTCTTCCCAGGAGCGGAGGCGAAGGAAGTCCAAGACCGGCTGTCCCAAGAGAAAAGAAATCCAAGCCGAACTTAAATCATGACCAGGAGTGTCCTTCGCCCTTTTTTGGGTTGGTCATGTTCAGCGGGGATCCCAGTCGGCTTGTCAAAATACAAAAGATTCAAACAAGGCCACCGGGCCAACCGCTGAACCGAGCAACGCCACGAACTCCAAACACCCTGCCTCAGGCGCCGAGAGGGCGTGGGGCACGCCACCTGCCGCGAAAAGCGAGGACGGGGCATGGCCACATCCTAATTCTGAAAAAGCCCCCGCATCTGGTGCAATCAAATGAGCTAGGGGGGGGGGTGTTCCGAGGTGCGCTTCGGAACCAGCTATGGCACTTGTGACACGGAGTCAAAACACCTTGCCTGGGCACGGCCTTGAAAGTCCCCATGGTCACCGGGGTCGCTCGGGGATGCGCTGGGGGAGGGGGCCCTTTCGGCCAACCGCGGCCGGGTCGAGATCCTGAGCGCCCGTCCATTGGAGTTGTTGGTCATCTCCATGCAGGTGAAGTTGAAAAGAACCGGCCTGCGTGGCACTGCAGCCCCCTCCCCCATTGCAAACCAAACAAACAACAGTGACACTCGTACTACATACACTCAGGGCAAACCGCTGCAACAAGGCACCCAAGGCAAACCGCCCAACCGCTGCAAACACGTTCCATCGTCCAGGGGCATTTGCGCTTTGACGTTGGGCGTGCCACTTTGACCCTTGGCTTTTGAATTGGTGGCTTTGGCCGGTTTGGGTTCCGAGGGCACCCACGCAATCTGAGATGACAAATGCGGAAAACAACTACCACCACCACCACCA